CCCACAATTACTGTACCTGGTTCTATTTAACAAAGCTTTTAACCTACAGACCCCTGGCTTTTCCAGCTGTACTGCTTTTGGCAGGAACACTGTTCTGTTTGTCCCACAGTACTGCTGGTGGAAAGCAGATGCTTTCCTTCAAGAAACAAATCTTCTAAAGTACGGTCAGTGGAAAGCACATCCCAACATTGGAAGTAGATACTAGAGAATGACTCAGGTGCAGTCTTCTGCCCTAATGTCCTATTTTCCGCTGAAATATAAGGGGGAAAGGAAAAAAAAAGGCAGTTTTAATGCATCCTTTAGCTGCAGTGGCTGGGCAGTTAGTCAAGGACAGACAAATGTTGCCAAATAGAGATTTTTCAACTAGGTAGAAGCTGGCCCGTATCTTCAGAGCTATTTCAATTCTCGTTAGGTGTCTCTGAAGGTTTGGCCAGTCATGCCCAGATTTTAGCATTGTTAGAATGTTTTGATGGTTAATGTTTTAACACAGTTCTGATGTGATCATGACACAGTTATGATTTCAACACAGTTTATAAGATGGGCTTGCCTTCAGTACAACCACACCATTTTCGATTCAGACTAGCAACAGCATCTGAATGGAGGACAAAAGAAAGATGACAGAAATGGGTGTGAAAAAGACTGGAGAGAAGGGAATAAATGCGAGAAACCTCAGCAGAGCGACACAAAGGAGAATGAGCAGAATGCAGAGAAATGCCTCAGACGCTCACGTAAGCACGGGAGATTTCATTTATTTGGCACAGAGGGACAATAGCCCTGTTAACCAGGATAGCTATTGTTCTTTTGTTTTTAAGAAACAAAAAGGGTAAATGCGAAGCACTAGCTTCCCAGGGAAAAATCATAAAAATAAGTTCTCATCCTGCTGTCTAATGAGGAACCAGAAGCCTCCCGCACTTCACCTATCGCCCTCACGCTGTTATTCACCCAAGTGTTTGTCGGCTTAGAAAACAAATTAAATAAATTGAGGCCTCGCTCTGAGGAGAGCTCAGGGGTTTTTTATAGCAGAACAAGTTAATTGAATCAAAAACCATCGAGTCAATGTACTAAGCAGAAAAATGCCCAGTGCTATCTGCTGTGTACTTGAGCACACAAGTGCTCCAGGAGCTGGTGTTTCAAAACGGAGTATAATACTGGTGTATTCCCTTTAGCTTTATTTCAGCGTTTTTCATAATGAAGACAGAAAGCCTTCCATAATTGGAGGAAGCCTCAAAACGTAGCATTCCTTCGGCAGTGGTGGAGGGAGAAGAAAAGGCGGACTTTGATTTGGCAAGACAGGGGTGCTCCAATACGAGGGTGACATCTGGAGAATAAGGACCCACTGTTCAGGGACAGTGAATTGCTTATAGCCTTTTACAAGCTCAGGGAGGGTGTAAGCTGTAAACGAGCTTCGGGAGCTTTGGCACAAATACAGTGGATCCTGTCAGCAGAAAGACCTTCCTCAGCGCATAGGTAGCATCGTGAGCGCCTTAAGAACCATTTGAACCACTGACGCGCAGAATTGCCCTCTTCAGCCGCTTTGCTGGAAAGCAAACAGCTGTCACCGAGGAAGGCAGGGGTGTCAGATACGCCTGGAGACACGCATCTGGGAATTTCTGCCCAATTAAAATATTTCTGAACACAAAAGATGATGGTTTCTACCGAGGGAGCTGGTGCAAAGCATTACCTGGGAAACCCAAAAGGATCTACCTTACGTTTGTTGTTTGGGGAGTTACCGTTCTTCACAACTAACTGACTTCATATGGAAAAGGACAAGCTCCGCAGTATCACAACTCTCTGCAGCAACCACAGGACAAATAAACAGAGCTGAGGCAAGGCTCAATGATTTTTTAACCTCTGATAGTCAAGGCTGTGATAGATTTCACCTGCATGCTCAAATGTGAATATATGGATTTGTAATATACAGAACACAGCCCCCCAGCCAAATCCTTCAGTGATACATAAGGCAAGTTCTCAGCAGAATATATGGGGGGAGAGGGGCATAATAAATATTCATGCTTGTTTACAACTTAATGCGTGTTGGTTGCCCCATGGACTCCACCAGCAATTCCCATTTCGTGGTCTTGCTTATGGACATCCTTATGGACGTTAGCGCTCCTGAGTTTCTCAGTTCTCTAAATGGCTTTTGGTGAGAGATTCTCACAGGCATGGCTTGAGTTTTGTTTAGTACCTGTCAGCAGAAGACAAAAGACATTATAAAGTACACAAGTTAGTGTTATTTGTGAGTCTAAGGTCTAAATAGCATTAGTTCTTTGTCCATCTAAGGGCTAAATAAAGGAGGAACATAACTGAATATATTTTAATAACCAGTTTTCCTGTTCTGTGGTGGTTTTGAAAATTTATTATCATTATTGAACACTAATTTGTTTTGTGTTTAATTTGCTTATTTACAGATGCTTTCATTCACTAATGTGTATATTTTCCAATTTTTATTCTTTTTTCCTGTTTTTTTGGCTTTCCAATCCCTAAGCCAGTTCCACATTTTAAAACTTCTCAGTATTTCCAGTTTCCTTGTTAAGGGTGCAATGCCATGCGTCCTCTCTCGCTACCACAAGCCATACTAAACAAGAGGGTGGCCACTCGGTCGTGCTGCAGCCGAAACTTTCCTCCATGGCGTTGCTGGCGGCGGGGCGTTTCATTAAAAACAAAATAATTGCGGCGGGTTTTTTGCTTAATTTACGTCTCGCAGCAGCGCAAATGGCATCGCCTCTAATTTTTGCTTAACTTCATCGCGTCAGTTTGAAGGAGAGGAGGGGGCCCCCCCTGGCCAGCAGCAAACCCCCCCCCCCCGCCGGGCTCGCCCTCCCCGGCACACCGGACCCGGCGGCAACCGCAACGCCACGGAGAGGAGCCGGTCAGCTCTAGACTGGGCGTCAGAAAACAATTAATCGAGAGCCTTAATGTTTAAAGCTGCATTAAAGCCCCGGTGCTTTCAAAGAAGGGCCCCGAAGCCCCGCTCCTTCCCCGCTCGCATCTCAAACACAAAAAGGGCGCGAGGGTCCGGCGACCGCCCGAGCCGCGGCTGGGGCGCGTCAGACCCACGGTGGGAGGGGGGTCCCCGGCGCCGAAACGGGCGGTATTAAAAATCGGGGGGTGGGCGGCAGGGCTGGATGCGGGCGGATGGGGGCAGGTCGGGCGGGAGGAGGGCGAATGTTTCCTGCCCGCCGCCGCCGCCCCCCGGCCGCCCCCCGCAGCCGGGCGGAAGTCAGCCCGCGCCGTCGGAGCTTAAAAGGCTCCCGCACGCCGCGCCGCCCCAGTGCCGGCGGCCGCAGCGGGGCCGGAGCCAGCGCCGCCACCAGCCCCGCGCCCCCCGCACCCCGGGGCCGCCCTCCGCACCCCGCCAGGCGGGGAAGGCGCCCGGCGCGATGGCTCTCCCCGGATCCCACGCCGCCCGGGACGGTGCTGCCGCATCAGTGAGTAATTCCTGCTAATTCACCCCCCGGGGCCGGTGGGCTCCGGCTCGGCAGATCGAGGGGGAGGCGGGCGTTTTGGGTTTCCCAGCTTTTTACCACCCCTGCCCCTCCTTCCTCCCCCTCTTCGGGTTTTATATTATTTTTGTTTTCTCAATAAAACACCACGCGAAGAGGCGAGATGACAAAGGAAATGTGATCCTAGGCGCTGCAGGGGCTCAGAGCGAGCGAGAACCGGAGAGGAGGAGGAGGGGGCGAGCGTAGCGCTCTCGGATAGCATTGCACAGCGGCTCCAATTTGTGCGAGCGAATATAATACACCCCCCATGAATAATTCAGGGCGGCCGGCGGGGACCTGCCGCTGCTCCTCTGCCCGACCGCGGCCGCCGCAGCCTGTGCGAACCGCGCCGAGCCCGCGGCGCTGACCGGCCGGGAGAGCCGCCCGAGCCGCCGGGCACCGCGTGTGGTGGGGAGGCTGCGGGCTCGGCGCTGCCCTCTGAGGGGAGCCCCGCGTAAAGGAAGGCGTCCGGCAAGAGCCGAGACTCAGAGGGGACTGCTCTTCTTGGCCGCCCTCGGAGCCCTTTTCTTCCCATCTCCTCCTTCTCCTCCACGTCCCGCCAGCGTGAGTCTCTGCCGGTGGGGTGGGCATCAACGCCGCCCTCCATCCCCACCCCCCAGTCATGCGGTGGTGGAGCAGGCGTCGGCGGGGGAGGACTGGAGCCGGAGAAGTCTGCCTGGCCACTGTGTTTCAGTGCCTCTCTCTCTCCTAGAGCTGCTCTGGATTGCAAAAGTGGAGGGGGGAACTGAAACGAAATTTCCCCTTCCCCCCCGACAAGCACAGGTTTAAAGGAAAAGAGGAAAAAACCCAACGCCCCAAGAAGAAAGAGCGAAACTTGAGTTAAGCCTTTGCTGCCCCCCATCCGCCTCCTCCCCGCCCGGCCGAGAGGGACTTGCACTGCCGCCCTGACCCGGTTCTGCGGCCGTGGGAACCGGAGCCGAACCCCGGCGGACAGAGGTCCGGTCCCCGCTGGATGCGGCGGGGATCGGGCGGTCGGCGCCCATGCACTTTCCGTTTAGGAAGAAGACAAGTAACTAAACCACGTTGTCAAACTGCTGACCCGAGGGGGAGATGAGAAGACTGTGTGAGGTATTGACCGATCCGGGAATCGATACAATTTGTCTAATGCAACGGGGGATCGGGGGTTAAGTACGTGTGAGGGAAGAGAGGATCCATTTTCTGAGGGAGAACGGGACAGCTACACCTTGATACCAAAAATACCCCCGCCCCCCCACCCCCGCAGCAGCCAGCCAGGCAGCAGCGAGGTACGAGGCGAGGACCCAGCTCCCTGCAGACCGCCGAATCGATGACACCGTATTTGCAAAAACGGCCAATCGATCCCACTTGGCAAAACGACTGATCGATGCCAGCTTGCTCGTAAGCTGCTTGCAGAACTACCTTCTCCCCGCGCCTCTGTTTTTTCCGCCCACGCTGCCTTTTTTTTTTTTTTTTTTTTTTTTTTTGTGAGTGAGGAGAGACACGTTTTTGCCCCCCATCGGGGAGTCAGGCTTGTCGCAAATGGCTTCGTTTCCCGAGTCTGACTTCCAGATCTGCCCGCTGTGCAAGGAGATGTGCGGGTCGCCGGCTCCCCTCTCCTCCAACTCCTCCACCTCCTCGTCTTCCTCGCAGACCTCCAGCTCCTCCGGGGGCGGCGGCGGCTCCTCCTGCGGAGGCCCGCCGCGGCGGCTCCACGTCCTGCCCTGCCTGCACGCCTTCTGCCGCCAGTGCCTGGAGGCGCAGCGGCACCCCGGCGCGGGGGACGCGCTCAAGCTGCGCTGCCCCATTTGCGACCAGAAGGTGGTGATCTCGGAGCCCTCGGGCATGGACGCGCTGCCCTCCTCCAACTTCCTTCTCAGCAACCTGCTGGACGTCGTCGTGGTGGCCGCGGCCGCCGACGAGCAGAAGAACGGCCGCGCCGCCGGGGCCGGCCCGGCCGGGAGCTCTGGCGCAGGGGGCGGCGGTGGCGGCGGCGGCAACAACCGGCACCACGGCCGCCCGCCGCCGGGGCCACCCCGCGCCGCCGGCTCCTCGCCCGCCGCCGCCGCCGCCTCGGCCGCGCCCTCCTCGACGTCTTCGTCCTCCTCCTCCTCGGGCGGCGGCTCGGCGGCGCTCCTGCTGCGGCGGCCCCACAGCCGGCAGGGCGAGCCCCGCTGCAGCTCCTGCGATGAGGGCAACGCCGCCAGCTCCCGCTGCCTCGACTGCCAGGAGCACCTGTGCGACAACTGCGTGCGGGCGCACCAGCGCGTCCGCCTCACCAAGGACCACTTCATCGAGCGCTTCGCCGCCGGCCCCGCAGCCGCCGGCCCCGCCGCGCCACTCGCCCTCAGCCCGCCCTACCCTGCCTCGCCATACAACATCCTCTCCGTCTTCCCCGACCGGGCTAGCTACTGCCAGCACCACGACGACGAGGTGAGCCGGTGCGCGGCGCGGGAGGGAGGGAGGGAAGAAAGGACGGAGGGGGCGGCTGCGCTCCCGCCCCTGGCCGGCGCCAGAGGGCCCCCGCCCGCATCGCTGCCTCCCGGGGGGCGGGCGGCGGTAGGGACCGGCCGCAGAGCTCCCGTAGCCCGCGGAGGCGCTGGGCTCCTGCCGCGGGGCTCGGGAGCCGGGGATGGGCTCGGGGTTGGGCTCGGGGTTGGGGGCAAGGCCGCCCCTCCAGCGGCGTGTGCGGGGGGCGGGAGCCGCTGGAACACAGGGGGAGGGCGTGCGGCGTCCCGGCCGCGCCCTGCTCCCACCGGGCGTCGCTCCGCACCGCCGCCCGGGATGAGGAGGAGGCGGTGAAGGTGAGCGGGGAGGGGGGGGGGGGCTCTCTGCGATATGCGGGAGACGCTGTGCCCGGAGGCGGTCGCCGGAGCTCCAGGCTGCCTGTGCGCGGTTTGCAGAGGGGGCATCGGGCTGCTGCGGGCGCTGCCCCTCAGAGGGAGCTCGTCGGGCGCGTACCGAGGGGTGGCGGGGCCGTGGAGATGCAAGAGAGAGAAGTTTAGAGGCGCCCCGCCCCCTCTCCCGAGCTCCTAACGCTTCTAATGCGAAGTGGAGTCTGTTTTGTACAACTGTGTTCTGCGTGTAAGCCCTCGGAGAAAGAAAAAACGAATAAATAGGGAAGGAAGATAACTGTATCGAGGAAAGAACTCATTTTTGCTAATTTATTTACAAATAAATAAAAAGTAGTCTAAAAGTTAGCAGAGCTACTCACCCTTGTGAATACCAGCTACATCTACTGATACAAAAACGGGAACTTGCTTTATGTGGTCTTAACTTGTAAAACCAAAGCGTTTTAAATTTTGTTTCTGGTGACCCTGACTATTGTTTCATAGATC